TAAAAAATAAAATGAAAAAAAATTAGTATTGCCGAAACCCGGGATTGAACCGGGGACCTTTAGATCTTCAGTCTAACGCTCTCCCAACTGAGCTATTTCGGCGCTGAGAGCTCCGGACGCCAAACGCAACGACTTGCTTAGTGAGTCATGAGGTGGGATACCTACCTGACAGTGCAGAGTAGTTCAATGACGTATGTAGCTAATTAAAAATGTGTGTGAGGGAGAGAGAGGACCGACAACAACAAAATCCGATTGATGAACTGTGAAATAAAGTGAACCCATTTCTGCGGTTTTTTGCAGTTTGTTTAAAAAATTTTTTTTTGGCTTAATTTTTTATTGCTGTTACGCTTTAGTCATTTATTAGCGCATTTGGGGGTTACGCCCGTTAAAAATTCCTTCGGCTAATTGAATTGTTATTAAGGTGAAGCGGAAAGGATTGGAGACCGAAATGTTCCATGCTCAATCGATATAACCATTGAGCCAAACGAGTTCAACGGATGGACCAGCCTCCTCTTACTTGGCAGCGACCCTCGACAAGGAAACGATAATTGGCGAGCTCTTCACGGATCATCAAATATGTGTATATATGTATATCTAGAATATTATCATGGAATCGTTGGCCAGAGATATATACGTGACTGTATATATATACATTCATATTTACATATATATTTGGGTAATTATATACATGCTTTTTCAGATTCATGATTCATGCCTAAATGCAGGTGTTTAAAGCGTTCAACTTAATGCAGCTGAGATAGACTTACAGTGAGAAACAGAGATATTGAGAGACAAAGATGGAGATAACAACTGATTAATTGTGTCAAATAGCTCGCTAAAGAGGATAGAAGAGGAATAGATAAAACCTTTTAGGTGATTTTTAATAAAATACTAATAAATTTAAAAAAATATGTATGTGTACTATTTATAATAATGTAGATATATGAAGTATATCATATATAACTATCGATATACATATATAGTCAATCTATGATCTTCCCAAGTTTCTATCTTCCGTCTTCTCTCATCTATCTACCATATATTATGTTATATATACCCTCTACGTTTCATTTTCCATCTACCAAATTTTATCTTTTATATTCCATCTTCCATCTTTGAGCGTACATATTCTATCTTTCATCTTCATTGTTCCATCTGCTATCTTGTATTACGTCTGTCCTATCTTTCATATATTATCTCTTATCTATCACATTCCATCTTCCATCTGCTATCTCCCCTCTTCAATCATGCATCCTCATAGCTTCTCTTCATCTCTGAATGGACTGGACTCTGGGTAAGGGTATTCTATATGAAGGTATTGTAGTATAGAAACAGCTTGAGCTCTGCCTTGAAAATCGCTCAACCAAAACTTACAACCAAAAGCCACCCACAGCGTCAACGCCCCACCTAGAACCAAACTGGTTCCGTTCTTGACGTCACGTAGCGCAACTAAAGCTACAAATATATATGTACATAAATATGCTATAAGAATATACAAATCAAATTAGCTTAAGATCTGCTCAAGAAAAGCACTCAAAAACCTCCCAACACCTGCACAAAAAAATAGACAATTATAAAAAGAAGTTGAAAATAAAAGACGTGGATTCGTCCATTCGGAACCAGTTTTCTGCCTTTTGTCGGTGATCTTGAGAGTTTTGTTTGAGTCAGACTCGGAGTCGGAGTAGGAGTTGAAGTCAGGGGCTAACAGTGCTGCAATTTAAAGTACATTCCTTCCACCTCTAAAAAGAATAGGAAGAAGCAAAACAACAAAATTATCCGTCAGAGAGCAGTAAAAAAACTGGATTTGATTTGCCCTTGCGCTGGGTATTACCAGGACCTGTGCGCTACAGCAGCTAGAGTCCATTGGACTCTAGGCGAACTAGTTTTTTCCATTTTACTTTTTTGGCTAAATTTTA